GGCCTTCTTTGAAAGTAATAAACATTGTGATAAAGCATTCTACTTTTCACAAAAACATTTGAACCTAGGGCCATCTTCCACTGTACGTAAAGTCGTAATATTTAGAAAGGCAATGTAAACTATCATTCCCTAAAAAAGTGAAGGATGATACATGACTCCTTACTGAAATATTAGTTAATATGTAGGTGAATAATTCTCAACATGTGTATGGTACTTTATAATTTAGAATGATTTTATATATTTATACCCTGGGAGTTGGGTAGCATTTTATTTTTTTAAATTAATGTAATTAAATTAAACTGTTACAGAGAGGTTAAGTGATATGCCCAAGTTACATAGCCAGCTACTAACTAACACATCTAGGACTGTTTTGAATTTAAGTTTGGTAATTTTTCTTCTCTGCTATGTTGTCTCTCAAATAGCTAGAGAGATAAACTAGGAAATCTAAACATGTCTTATTTAATTTTGTTGATTATTTCTCCCAGTTTTGCTTTACAATGACCATTCCCTTTCATCACTCCAAAGCTCCATACTCCTTCTGGCCATCTCACACATATTTTATATGGTATAGGTCACTGTCCAAAGAGATACAATCTTTTTTTCTAGGTGAAATGATAGGAGGTTATAAACATGTAGAGAAAACCTGTTAAATGTTGGCTTATGATAATGAAGAGTGCTTTCGACGTGATATCTTCCAATTACTGACTATTTTGGACGATTTTTTCCCCTAAGGATATTTTCAGAATGCATCTCAAACTTGTTGGGAATACCCATCCTAATAAAGAAGGAAAGCCAAATGCTTTGATTGATAAAATGATTGGCATTTTTAACAGTACAAACATTCAATCTCATCTTCAGAATGCAATTTGTGCTACAGGTGCTGACAGATTCTGGCATCAAACACTGTTAGGGAAGAACTGTGAACTTGAGATTAAAGGTTAAAGGCTCAGAATTAAAAAGAATCTTTTTCAGATGACTTGAGGATAAGTGACAATAGCTACATCTGGCACAGATTGTAGTCATACTATCCTAAAGAAACTTTTATTTTCTGATTAAAATAATCAAATTTTGGATGACCCAAGGGCTTATCTTAACAAAGTATTGTTACTTAATGAACATGCTAATTAGGTGATTCTTATATAGCATATTACTAATGTAGACATAAAGCTATGACAAAGTTTGACATTTTTTTCCCATCACAACCCTGAAGACTGACTACATTATCAAACCAAAAATAAAGTTATTCAAGTATCAAGGATTTCCCCCAGATCACATTTTACTTTCTTTTCGGCAAAATAAACAAATTATCTATAAGAGCAGAAAGCATCTAGAGCTGATGTACATCCATTGATTCACTCACTCACTCACCGTAGGTACAACCCCAGTTTCCAATCCTTTGTCACCAAAAATAAAACCAACAAAACTCTGCCACAAATATTTTGTATGTATGGATCTTTTTCTTCTTTCTTTGATCTCTTTGGTGTATAAACCTAGCAATGGTATTTCTGAGTCACTTGAGTGTGTGCAGTTTAATAGCTTTTTGAACATAATTCCAAATTATCTTCCACCACAGCTGAACTGGTTCACAGGTCCATCAAGAGTCCATTAATATACTTGCTTCCTCACAGCACTTCCAGCATGTATTCTCAATCTTTTCTTATTCACTTTGATAATTAGATGGGTGTAAGGTAGAACTTCAGGAGTTGTTTTAATTTACATTTATTTGATCACTGGTAATTTAAAGAATTTTTAAAATATAGCTATTGGTGGCTTGGATTTCCTCTTCTGAAAACTGCCTATTCATATCCTTTGAGTACTTATCAATTGGATAATGGGTCTTATTCATATAAATTTGAGTCACTTCATTGTATATCTCAGAAATATGACATTTCAGAGAACTTGTTGCAAAGATTCCACCCTGATATGCCCTTTTATTTTCAATTTTAGCTGAATTTGTTTTGTTTGTTTGAAATTAATTTTTAATTCTTCTTTGTGTATTTTTAAAAATTTTATAAAATTTAAATGGTCTATTTTACCTTTTCTGATCATCTCTGTCTCTTGAGTGGTCATGAATTCGTCATCTATCCATAGGTCTGACAGTTTCTTCCTTGCTTCTCTAATTTATGATGTCACCATTTTTGTATAAGTCACTAAATCATTTGGGGTGTATGTTGGTAAATGGTGTATGATACTAGTCTATACCAAGTTTCTCTCAGTCTACTTTTAAGTTTTCCCAAAATTATTTGTCAAATATTGAGTCCTTGCCCTAATACCTGAGATCTGTGAGTTTACCAAAATCTTTATAACCATAATTCTTGTTTGCTTCTGTAGATTATAAATCTAATCGGTTCCACTAGTCACCCTCTCTATTTCTTAACTAACCTAACTACTTTAATGATTACTGCTTTTGTGCCATGGCTTGAGATCTGATACTGCTAGGTACAATTTCTTCCCACTTTTTTTCCCCATTAATTCTTTTGAGATTCTTCACCTTTTGTTTCTCCAGATGACTGTTGTTTTTTTTTTTTAGTTCTATAAAGTAATCCTATGGTGGTCTGAATGGTTTGACTTATGCCTACACTGTTTTTTTTAGTCATTGATTGTTGATATTTTGGAGTCATTCTCTTCTTTTGGATTTGTGCCTTTTTTTTTTTTTGGCAATTGGGGTTAAGTGACTTGCACAGAGTCACACAGCTAGTAAGTGTTAAGTGTTTGGTCTGAGGCTGAATTTGAACTCAGGTCCTCCTGACTTAAGGGCTGGTGCTCTATCCACTGTGCCACCAAGCTGCCCTGGGTTTGTGTCTTGAGCATTCTTGTTACCATAATAACTCTTTATAGTAGGATCCATTTTAGATTTTCTCATTCCCCCCAGCCTTCTTCCTTATTTTTGACTTTGTGTTAGAACCACATTCTCTGCACTTCTAGGGAAAATGTCTGTACTTGGCTTTTGCTATCTTGAGTTTTTCTTGGGGTATTGAATGTTGTATAATTCTATTATCTTAGTATAGCTCCAGCTATAGACTGTAACTGTGAGCACTCTCAAAGTTTTCTGGTCCAGCACAAAATTTAATCATGGCTATCCTAGTTTGAACTTTGCAGGTTCCTGGCCTGGGTTTGTGTCTGCACAATTCTGCTGTGGGCTTGCCTCTGTTTGGAAGTTGTAGTCGACAACTGCTATAATTGGTCACTATTAGCTAGCTGGAAAGCTCTGCAGATTGAGAATGACAGAGCTTCAGGTTCCTATTTGCTCTGGGATTCCTGCCCTAATTTTTCCAATGCTGGTTTCAGACTAGACTGAAGGCTATAACTGAGGACCCACCCTTCTCCTGAGGTTGGAGCTACACAGCTAGTAGTTGCTTTTGAATATGTTTCTATCTCAAATAAGTACCTCAGAGTCCAAGATTTCTCTCCATTCTGGAATTCTGCCACTAGGTATAGGTCTCTGTCTTAGTCTACCTTGAATCAATGACCTGGAATTTAGTAGTGAAAGACAAATGCTTTTTGGTACCTGTTCTGGCATTTTTCACAAGGTCAGAATCTCCCTTAAAGGGTTTGGAGCTGGCTACCTGTGGACTTTGGCTTGCACTTCCCTCTTCCCTTGAAATGGATATGACTATGGCTCTTATATGGCTTGAACCCATGACTTCAGACTCATTTTTAATACCACATTCAAGCTAGCTGTGCTAACCAGCCACTAATACTTCATGGATCTTGCTTTACTCAGTAGAAGTCTTACCTAAATAGCTGTGCATAAATCAACTATAACCTTGCCCATAAATGTACTACTTTACAAGAAAACCTATGTTATCTCCTTTTGTAGGCCCTGATTTTTTTTTTGCTTTAAGTTAGTATTTTAATCTGTTAAGTGTTTAAAATAGGAAATAGACTTTTTATTATAATAAAGTTTTGAGAATTGACTGGTATTCTAGAGTTCAGAGTTCAGAGAGACAAACAGTCTTCTCAGGACTCTATTATATTCCCCTTATATAATCTTAGTCAAGAACTTTAAGTTTCTCTTGTTCAGTTACTTCTATGATTTTGGGTTACTGAGTAAAGGATACTTTTTAAGGAACAAAACTTTTATCCTCTGTTAAATAAATATTAGTGGATTTATATAATATATTCTTCAAATTTAAATGAGACAAAATACAAATCAGGTTTGATTATGTCATTTTATTAATTAACTCTTTAAAAAGATATTGAAATTGTGTCTTGATAATGTCTCTGATGAATAAGATATTATAACTTTTCTTTTCTGAATCCTAAGCTCCATAGCTCATTATGCCAAAGAACATTATAAGTATAGATTAGGACCTCAATGAAAGCCATGCAGTCCAGAGTGTTTTTCCTTCAAAGATGCCATCCTGGACATGGCAGGCCTATTGTCCTACAGATTAATCTGGGTCATGGACTCTCCAGAGCAAGATCCTTGGCATTAAAATTAAAATATGATATCCCAGATAAAAAAAATTGCATTGATTTGACAAATGTGAAAGGTGGTAGATGTAGAGTTCTGTCTTAGATATTGACTCACATGATTCAGTAGTTCTGGTACCTGAAATTTATTATCAAATGAAGTTAATCAAGGGCCTTTGCAAAAGCAAAGGAATTGTGTTTCTTGTATGCCTATATTATTAAGACAAATATATATGGAAAATTCCAGTTCTTAAGTAATTTCCATATGTATATTCTAAAATCTGATGCAAACAAATACTTTTGACAAGTAGACAATAATAGAGTATTACTATTTCATATATGAGTAAGGGAGTGGTATCCTTTGTTCCTTTCCTGAGAGAGCTGGCATTTATCTTTATTATTCCATCAAAAACACTTCCAATGATGATAATTTGAAAATATATTTCCCTCCTAAAAGATCTGCTAAACTCCTTTGACTGCTAAAAGGTATATGTAGGGATTTCTAGGGTTGATTTATCAAAAACAATCATTCCTGCAACTTGTAAATTATCTGACAACTTTGTATTTATTTATCCATCCTACAGATGAAATGAATGATCGCCAAGGCACCCTTTCATACATCCTGATCAATCCTTCTCCTGACACAAGACTGGAAGTTAATGATGTTGTGTAAGTTGATGGCATGTATCTGTGAGAGTTACAGAGTTTCAGACTTTAATTTTCACAAAGCACTTATTTCTTTCTCTTCTAAATGCTCTTATACCTTCTTATTTTTCTTTGAATTTAAAAATGTTTTGAAAATATAAACCTTTTTATTTTCAATTTTCTATTCAGTTTATTTTCAATTCAGTAAGGATTACTTTGTGTCTGCTATAGATCCAGAATTATCTAATAGGTACTAGAGAAATCTAAAGGAAGCAAATGAAGTACACTTTTTATTCGAGGAGCCACAATTTATTTGAGATTCAGTTTACTGTGGGAGAAGGAATCCTGAATTTGGAATCAGGAGATATGTGTCTGTGTTAAGCAATTCAAAAATATTGTCTTATTTAATTCTGACAAAAATGCTAGGAGCGAGGAGGTGTTATCCCATTTTGTGGCCAAAATAAAAACTGAAGCAAATGGAAGTTAAATGAGTTGACTAGAGTCACAAAGCTAGTAAATGTCTAAGTTCAGATTTGAAGTCAGATCTTCTTCACTCCAGACCCTTCACTATATCCATAGCTCTAGCAAGCCAAAACCTTTGGAACAGCTGTTGAGGGGGTGTCAATAAGGGAAAAAAAAATTAAGAAAGATTGCCATGTAAGCATTGGGGGCTTCATGTAGGAGATGGTGTTTGAGCTAATATGTAAAAGGGGAAACATATTCTAAGATGTGGATATGAGGATTTAGTGCATTCCAGTCATGTTTAATCACTTGTGCTAATATACAGAGTTGGACAATTGTCAGATAAGGAACAGTAAATACAGTTTAGCAGGAATAAACAATTTGTGAAGGGAAGTAATGTATAAATAGAATTTGAAGATTGGTTAGAGACAAGTTGTAAAGGTCTGGAAATTTTAAATAGAGGAATTTGTATTTGAACTTAGAATTAAAATGAAGGTATTGGATTTTATTAGTCAAGAAGTAACATGATTTAGTGAATGGTCAGTGAGATCAATAGTCCATCAATATAATGAGGGATGAATGGTTAGTGAGAAAATTGAAGCAGTCAGTTTAGGTTACTCTTGTTAGGTATTTAGAACTGAGCATGAGAAAAACATAGTAAATTATCTTGAAGAGATGTTTTTATTTTTAAAGATAAGAAATAAGCATGTCTGTAGTTAGTGATGAAGTAGCCATTAGATATTATGGAAGATTAAAGATGAAACAAAAAATGATGATGCCATAGGCATCCAGCAGAGAGGTAGGGAAAAGGCTCCAGAGGAAAGGTAAATCTTGGCAAAGAAAAAGGATTTCTCAACTTTTTAACCTGAAACAAGGACAAAAGAATGATTACAGTTGTGTAGAGATTTTAAAATGGGCTGGAGGAAAGAAGTAAGTATAAAATGCTAGGTATTATTATTAAAAATTAGCTATTATAGTTACTATGGAAGATTTGAGCTTGTTTAAGTAAAATTGGTCATAATGTTTCATTGTGTTTTTATTCAAAGTTTGTCAGTGGAGCCACTGAGATTACAATTTATCATGGTTACAAAGATAATAAATATAAGATTATGTTATAGAAAGCTCAGAAATCTATGAAGATTGTATATTTATACACACACAAACACATACATACATATATATATATATATATATATATATATATATATATATATATATATATATGTATATGTATATGACATACTCAAGTACTGAGAGGCTTCTTGTGTGGATAAACATCTCTCCGACCTTGCCCTTCTGGAGCTCTTTACAAACCTCAGATTTCCATTTAAATGTTACCTACATCTCTAATATTCCATGATAAACTTCAGCATCTCTTTCCTTATCTCACTCTTACCCCTTTAAGGGCTTCACTATTTCTATCAAAATTTCCCAGTTACCTAGGCTCAAAATCTCCATAATGTTTTGCTTTACTTTTCCTTGCTATCCCCTCATCCTTCTGGAACAATGGACTTGATTTCATTAGTAAAAGGACATTCTGATGAGTAAACTACTATTTCTAGTACAGTTATCCCTTCCATATTATAACTTTACACATTATGGTTTCGATTTATTGGGGGTCAGCATAAGAAATTAAATGGGAATTTTGGGGTATTTTTGTGGAAGCCTTAGACAATGTGCAAAGGCCAGCAGATGACACAGAAAAAGTTATGAAAATTATAAATGCATGTAATACATATATAGTATTGTATAATATCAACCCAGATTTTACAATGTTAATGTAAACATTCCATAAAAGAAAAAAGAAAAAAAATCAGACATCTTCTCTGATACTAAGAGAGGGCCAAAAAATTTTATGTGGATTTTCCAAATCATGGTGGTATGCCCGTAACCCCCAAAATATAACTGTACCCTATCCCCTGAGCAGTCCAGGTGCTAAAAACTTTTACTGTTATCAATTTTGTTGATAATTGATTTCTTTTTTCTTCGCATATCCATTTTCACAGCACATTTTCAATTAAGGCATAACATGCACTGGATTCCAAGAAAAATAAATTAGGAACTCATATGGCATTATAAACCTGAATGTACACTATTTGTTTTCCTCATTGATTGACAAAATTATTAAAATCATGAAGCACTGTACATAGTTCACAAAATTAAAATGAGATCTGAAATTAATATATGCTTTTAAAAATTAATAAAACCCTATAACACTATGGCTTTTAGCATAATTTCTATTGATTTTTCATATCAAGAAATATACTATATATTAATTTTTTTTAGTTTAAAGTCCACTGTCTTTATATTTCATGTTTTTAAATTAGTTCTGTGTCCATTTTTGAATCTACTATATTAAAATGAAACAATAGAATGCCCATGTCTTTAGGATTAAGAGCATAACAAAAGTTTTATATCTGTACTGTAATTTCCCTAAAACGCACGTTTGTAGTCACTCCATGCTCCCTATTTCTGTCTCGCGTTTGTTTACAAAGACATCCATAATGAGGCCTTTTCTTCTTCTTTCAACTTAAAACTCCACATGAACCTTCTACTCGAACTCATTTTTTTAAAAAAATTTTCCTGAAACATTCCATTCACATTCTTGTCCCTGAAGTTTTACTCAAACTACCCTGCCTGGCATACAGTAAGAGCTTAATAAATGCTTGTTGACTGACTGACTTAATATCCCATCTAATGGCATTGTGGCTAGAAGTTCAAGTAGCCTCAGACACTAACTTGTGTGAATGTGGAAAAGTTACTTAACCTCTCTCTGCCTCAGTTTCTTCAACCATTTATGTTTAAATGGAGATAATAAAAGCACCTACTTTATAGGGATATTTTGAAGATCAAATGAAGTATTTGTAAACAATGTTTAGCATAGTACCCATCACATAGTAGGTGCTATATAAATGCTTACTCCCATCCATCCCTTACTTCGAAGGAAACTAGAGATAATCTCCTTAAAGATAATCTTGTTTTTTAACAGATGAGGACACTTGCATGAGACACCATCAGGCCAAGGTTTTGTTGTTTAGTCTTTTTCACTTGTGTTTCACTCTTCATTATACCATTTGGGGTTTTGTTGGCAAAGATAATGGAGTGGTTTGGCATTTCCTTCTCAAGATCATTTTAAAGGTGAGGAACTGAGGCAAACAGGGTTAAGTGACTTGCCTAGGTAAGTATCCGAGGCTGGATTTGAATTTGTAAAGGTGTGTTTTTCTGACTCCAGGCCCAGCACTCTATCCTCTGTGCAGACTAAGGTCCTTGATTCTAACCCTAATTCAGAGGTCTTCCTACAGAGACATACTGTCTACTGCCCAGGGATTGCCCCCTCCCCTGGACTTTGAAATTATGATCTTAGCTATGAAGTGATTTTTATCATGCTTCTTTGAGTAATGATATATGCTATATTAAAATAAATATATCCTTTTGTTTGTGGAGCCTATGTCCCCAAACAAAATTCGGCTTATTCTGGCCCTTCCTGATCCATTTTTTTCTTCTCCTGGGGCAGAGAGAATGTCTTCTGACACTTAAAACAATAATAACAACAGCAACGAAATAGCAATAATCAAACATTTTGTGTTTCATTTCAAGCTAATTATTGAACATCAATAAAATCGACTAAGCTTGCTTAGTAATTATTCATTTAAGTCAGTTTTTCTAAAAATATATTGGGATTCTTTGTTCCTTTTCATTCACCTTTCATCCTCTACCAATCATTGACTGGATTATGTGTACACCATTCTTTTAGTTCTGCTTCTGTCACTTTGTATTCTTTCATAGAGCTTATTCCAGATTTCCTCATATTTGTTTTTTTTTTTTAATGTCATCATAGTATTCCATTATGTGAATTTACTACAATTTCCTTTTGGCACTCTGTTGTTGTACATTTAAAGCTGTTCACAACTTTAAAAAAAATATGTATGATGTTGCTCTGAAAAAGAAAAACCATTTAATAGCTAGCTCTTAAAACAATTGATAATTCTTTTCAGGTTTTATTTGTAGTAATGGAAGATTGAGACCAAAGTCTATGATTCTTTGTGTGTGTGTGAATTTTATTACATATTAATAGATTGCTCTTAAAAAATATTCTAGAAGTTTGCGATTCCACCACAAATGGATGAGTGTACTTGTTTGTGTCTTATACTCTTATAAGTCTTTTTTAGAGTTGGTACTTACCACCATCCCCTGAACATAGTATCCACAAAAATAATTCTGTTGATGATTACTGAGAGTTGACAATGGAAAGTGAATATCTGTTTAATGCCAATTTTAACATTTGTGAATAAGTATTGGTGGATGGATGCTTTCCTATTTCTCTCTTGGTAGAATACATTTTGTGAGTGACAGTGTGGTATAATAGAGAGCTCTCTGGTTTTGGAATCAGAAAGACAAGGGTTCCAATCCTTATTCAGTCACTTAATGGGCAAGATACTGGTCATCCCTGCTGTGAATTTCCTCATTTTCAAATTATTTAGATAAAAATAGCACTTTCAGCATAGGCATATTGTGAAGGTCAAATAATAAAATATATGCAAAGTACTTTTTGCTACATAAATATACACTGCATAAATATGAGCTGTTTTCATTTCATACTACAAAAGTCCATAGTTCCTTTGAATTTCTGGACAGGGACCATGACCTGAATGTGATCAGGTGCAGTATTAATTAGAATGATGGCTGCAACTGTGTGGATCACGTATTTGAAAAATCAGATTTTGAGTTTTGAGATCACCTATCCTGAGTTAATCATTTTATAGCTTAAGAAACTGAAATTCAAAAAAGAAAAAAAAAAGATTTACCAAGGTCGCAAAGTTAATTAGTGGCCAGACAAATCCTAGAGCTCAGGCACCTTTGATAGAAACTATAAATACCTCAGTACCCTGATTTCTGGAATTTATGCCAGTCATCAAGATAAAAGTGATAAAATCAGACCTGAATGAAAGATATCGGTGCTTGATTTCTCACTCTTCATGAACAAAATCTTGTAAATTATGGACAGTTGGTAATACACTATCCCTGTCATTCACTGGGCCTCCATTTACATAGTAAATCTTTCATTACATTTACTTCTGCTGCGGTTCCATAGATGTAGGATAGTTTAGACAGTGTAGAAGTTAAAGTAATATCATGTTTGAAATGAAACTTGAGAGAGACTATGTAAATTAATTTTGATATTCTTGCATATAACTGATCCTAAGTATAATCATATGTATTCTTTTTCTAGGTATTTAATTCGACCAGATCCCTTGGCATACCTTCCAAACAGTGCACCCAGCCGAAAAAGTAGCATCTGTAATACCACTGGACCTGACACTCGAGAAGAAACACAGCTTTGATACACTTCATAATAAAAAACACTATTTTTCTACAGAGTACCTTGATTCCATCAATACTACTTCTACAGAAAAAAATGCTGCTGGCATGAAATAAATAGGGTAGAATATAATTTATTCTATTCTACTAACAAAACCCACCGTGAATCTTAGATTATCTTGAAAGCTATGTTCCAGTTATCAATTCCATTTTTTTCCAATGGATATTTAAAAGGCATTAGTGGAGTGACTCCAAAGAGCAAGATTAAGATACAAGAACAAATATGAAATTTATCAAGGCTTCAATATTGGTCCTGACAAATACAAGCAACTAAAAAAAAAGTTTAATGGAAGGAAACAGAAAATCAAAATACCTAACATACTACACATAGTAAATTATTGCTGCTTAAAAAGACATTAAATGTACCAAGATGTGTTCTTTAAATCTATCTCACAAAAAAGAAAATTTCCCAGCAATGTCTGTTGCCTACAAACCCAGAAGCAAACTATGTCATGTGTGATTGTTGTTATCAAAATCATAGCTTCAGTTAGAATACTTATCTTATAGCTTTTTTTGTCTGTCTTTTCCCATGACAATATATTCATTTTGGAATTGCACTAAAACTCTCTGCAGCATGCCTTATTGCTCACATAAAGAAGCCAGGGGATAAAGAAAAAGGAAGGGAAACATGATGTACGTGACTTTTCTTTTTATAATTGTGTTAAGACATATTTACATATGCCAAGAAAACAAAGATTGAGCAGAAAAATAAAATGCTGGATGGCCACATATAGGACCTTAGAGTGGAAATGTTAGGTTAGTTTTCTGACAGTATACTAAACTTATCTTCATTTGGCTTTTGTGCTTCAGAATTCTTCATCTGTCTACATATAATTCATTAGAAAGAAGTAGATTGAAATTTGAAGAGCAAATGCAGAATTATTTCACTGTGCATTTTTTTAAAAAAAATTTGGAGTATGTTTCAAATTATTGAAAGAACTCCTTTATGTCTTTGGTATTTAAATAACCATAATAATAATAATAATTATAATAATAAAAACTTGTGTGGAGAAATTTGATTCATTTAATTTAAATGACAGATAGATGGATAAAGCATTTATTAAGTACTTATCAGATGCCAAACACTGTGCTTAGCATGGGGAATACAAATACAAACAAAGAAAACAATTCCTCCTCTCATGGAGTCTGCATTCTAATGTGGGAAGGGACCATAAATAAAGGGAAAGGAGCTGGAAATTGGGCAGGGAAAAGGGGGGGAAAAGACTGATGCGAATTTTTTAAATGTCTTAAGAGTGACAAATAGAGTGGGAGTAAACATAGCCTGGGTATTTCATAAAGCTGAGATTTTGACCAGAGACTCACCAATCAGAAGAGAGGGCTGTAGGGCAGAGGCACTTCCAAGGTAAAAAGACAGCTATTAGGGACATAGAGAAGCCTGGAGAGTGAAAAGTGGAATAAGGGGAGTATTAATTGTGTTTATTATGTTCTCAGAACCCCTGGCTTGAAGTGTCACTTTAGCCTGGTAAAAGTCTATTGGAGTCTGAGAGAAGGTATAGATGTGTATCTCATGAGATTATTTTAATATATTTGATTTTATTCTTTTACCTTCTAAGGTAATGAGTAAAACTTATATACAGGTAAGTCATGCTTATGTAGTTGATCCCTTTATGCTATACAAATATGATTTGTGTCCAATGAAATACCACAGAGAAGAAAAGAAGGCAGAAATGCCAAGTAAGTGGAAGCTTAGCCAAGGCACTAATAGGATAAATCCAGACATACCTGCAGACTAGGGAGATAAATATTGTCACACAGAGAAGTGTTATAACTTGGAGATAGATGCTACCTGGCCTCTGGGAGCAAAGAGAACTTGGCTTTCTGCCAAATTCCTGATGGTGTTGGATGTAATTCTAAGATGACTATGGGTAAGTGAGGGCTAGTCACTGTCTCTCATCAGTTAATAGAATCAGAGAGTTAGTTAGCAGTGTCTTCTAGAAGTTAAAACATTTCAGAATTGGAAAGAGTGTTCGATGTTGTCTACTACTTGTTTAAAGATCTCTCCACAGCAAAGGGTAGTGTGGTATAGTGGAAACAGCACTGGTTCTAGATTTGGAGGAACTGAGTTTAAATACTTCTCTGATAGTAACTATTTTTGTGACTTTGGATAAGTCACTTAACCATTCTGGAATTTAGTTTTTCAATTTGTCAAATAAGTGAATTGGGGTAAATAAACTCTGACGTCACTTCTCACCCTAGATCTGTCATCTTATGATGCCTAATTGTGGACCAGTCTTTGCCTGAAGATTTCTAATGAAGAAGAAACCACAAAATCCTGGGACAATAGCTCTAATTATTAGAGAGTTTTTTCTTGTTTCAAATTAAATCTATCTTTTTGCAACTCCTAACTGATATTCCTTGTTGTACCTTCCAGGTATAATTAAAAAAAAAAACCTAGCCTTCTTGCCATAAACAGCCTCTCTACAAATCATCATATCTGTCTTAAGTATGCTCTTCTCCAGGCTAAATATTCTATTTCTTCAACCAATATTCCCAAATAAATAACAATTACTTCTCTGCAGCAGGCATATGGGGGAAGCAAAATTACTATTTATCAGATAAGCATACTATGTGTTGAATAAGAAATGCATCATCATACAAAGTACTTTCATCATAACATAATTTGTGATATAATAATGTTTTATTGTATATTTTGATCTCTGAATTAAATTATATGCAACAAAATACTGATAAAACACCACCAACAAAGTGGGTTATAATCTTGGTGCTAGGCCTTTATAAAATCATTACATTAGTTTAAGTTTTTTGTATTTTGAAAACAAAATCTACTTTTTCAGTATTTACATCATGCATGCTCCATTGCTATGTTCCCTCTATTTGATTATTTTTACTTTTAAATACTCCGCTGCCTTAAATCCTCACAGATAATGAATGACATGAACATGAACAGCCTTGGTTGGTTCTTTATTTTATTTAGATGCTTTCCAAATCCACATTTTTCTGGTAAAAAGCTAATCTAGAGGTAATACATTTTACTTCTTATTCAGGTAAATTTAAGTCATTTATTAAGAATGCTACAAAAGAACATTTAGTTCATCACAACATTTAAGCCTGATTACACTTTTAACAATTATAGAAACCAAGCTGAGAATTTTACAGCATTGAGTTTATGGGGCATTAAAGCATATTGTTTAGTGATTGTCAAAGATTCTTGTGGCTAATGCTCTCAGCATAAAGTTTCTTATTACTTCTGATAATCCATCTAATGAAAGTTTTTCTGTTAATGTTATTTAAATTTGAGTCAACAGATCAAATCAACATGCATTTATTCATTTATTATGTGCTGTGCTAAGTGCTGGGAATTTAAATACAAGCAGAAGGAAAGACAATCTCTGCCAACAAGGAGCTTACATTCTAATACGGGAAGACAATGACTAAAAGGAAAAAAAAAACAGAGGATAGGAAGAGAGGTGGGGAATGGGGTGAAGGGATGTGGTAGAGAAGTTTCAGAGAACCAGGAGGCAACCTGTACAGGGATGAAGACGTTGTGACTTCTGTGTTCTCCTTAAAATAGAGATTAAATAGGGAGAAACCAATCAGAGAAAGAAAATGCAGAGGCAGAAGCTATTTATTTGTGAGAAGTCTAGGCCTGGAGTGAACTTCCCAAATTAAGAAATTTTTATGACATGGTATAGAGAAAGTCAGGAGTGCAGTCTAGAGAGGAATATTATCTCCCCTTTCCCCTTTTTTTTAAATTATCCTACAGAAATATAAGTGAAAAGATAAAGATTTAAAATGGCAATCATTCATTTCCCCACTTAAAATAATCAGCTGTAAGTCACTTTGTAATTGACATTATAGTTAAGTAAGGATAAAATTAATTGGTAGTGAATTGGTTAAGAAATTGAGAATATAGATAGAATAATAATGATAAGAAGAAAAAATGGGCAAAAATGCTTACTGTATGTACTCTATCACTTCAGGAAACATACAACATAACCTTAAGCTCTTTTTCAAGGAATCTTATACATTTATTAGAATAGTAAATAGCTTAGCAGCCTTTTATGTAAGAATCCAATTTCCTGGTAGGTTGCAAAAATGGGCAATATCTTTTGTGGGGAAATGCACAGAAAAACAAGGTTTTTAAGGGTGAACAGAAATTTCAGACCAATATATATCTGCATGAAAGAACAGTACACATGGTCATGGGTCATTTTATATGCTGCGCATGTTTAGAGAAAAATATTTTAAATGGTTCATAATTAAAATTGTTAATAATTTCAGGGTTGGAGTAGAAAGCTGTTGCCCATATCACCAAATTTGAAATAAATTAGACTGATTTAGCAAGCAAAGGGAATAAAAAAGATGAAGGAAGCACCTCCAGGTAAATTTGGCTTTTATAGTTAGCACCAGATGTTAATACTAGAACACTGATGCATGAAGTACTTGGTTAGTCGCTGGAGGTGGTGAGCCATATTGATTTCATCTCAACTCTCCAGAAACCTTAAGCTCTGAAACCCACAGGCAGAATGTATCTGTGACAGCAAGAGTGAAAATAAATTAAGTTCATATTTCATATTCACAAGTTCTTTTGCTTTTTATAGATCTATAGTTTTGAAACAGCTAGGGGAATAGTTAGGCCATAGAGAATAAAATAAAGTTACTGTGATATAGAACTAATAAGTATTATAGTTACTGTCATGAAAAATTACATTGTGTATGTAAACCAGCACAATGGATAAGGATGCTTTTTAATCTCTCTCGTTTCATTTACTGCAAGATTGCAGGACTGTTTTCTTCAGTAACATAATTGTAGTAAAAAATTCTAGTTAAGTAATAGTTCATTCAGAGCTTCAACAATCTTGTTCACATCCCTTTTTACAATATAAAAATGAAAAGAGATCTTTGAAAGCATAAAAGTTAAAGAAATAGTAAAATGTCTACACATAACTGCCAGTGATGTATTACCATATGAGATTTTCAGATCATAGTATTTGGATCTGAGGACAGTTATAGTCATCCAACCTAAATCCTTTATATTATAGAGGAGAAAACTGGACCCTGAAGAGATTAGGTGACTTTGACAAGGTGACTTAGACAAATATAGTAAATAGCAGCACTCATCAACTAAAGGGAAAGAGAGATAGAGATGTTGCAGTGGCTTTCTTAGAATGTGCAGCTTCTGTATTTCTGCCAAATAGCTGCTGTCTATGTTTCTTTTCTGAGATTATAGACCAGATAACTAAACCAGGGAATGGTAAAACAGAAACAGAGACTATGATAGAGACAGAGACACAGAAAGACAAAGAGAAGAAACAGAGATAAAAAAGAGAGACAAAGAAAGGGGGGGATAGCAGGCCATTAAAAATAAGTAACATTTAAACTTACTAAGTTATCAACTATTGGGCAAGTCACTCAACCCTTTTTGCCTTATTTCTTCATCTGTAAAATGAGCCAGAGAAGTAAATGGTAAATCATTCCAATATCTTTGCTAAGAAAACCCCAAATGGGGTCATGAAGAGTCAAACATGACTGAAATGACTGAATGACAACAAATATTTAATTAAAAATGTTCAAGAAAATCTTATTTAAAAAACTATAGCAACACATCTATCTATCATGTAAAATATGATCATTTAGCACAAGTAGAATTTATATCAGAGATACAAGGATGGTTCAGAAGAACAATTAACATAATCACATTACAACAAAACACACCTCAAATTTTCGTCATTATATCTGTAGATAATGGAAAATCATTATACAAAATAGAATACTCATATCTGCTAAAACTTCCATATAGAGCATATCATAAAAGGAACATCAAAATATAATTAAAAGCATACATCTAAAATCCCAATATAGCATTATATTAAATGGGAAAATAATTAGAAACATTTTTTTTCTGTCAAACACATGAGGAAGTAACAGTTCCCTCCTCTCTTGGCTGCTATATAGCATAGTTCTAGAAATGCTACCAATAGCAATTAGATGAGAGAAATCAAGTGAAATCAAGTTAACATATG